TACTCTTTGGCCTACTCAGAGATGAAAATTACACACTGAAAGTTAAAACTACTTTAACCAAAATTAAATCCCTACACAGACACCCTTCTTTAAGCAATGCTGCATTGGTTTTGGCATATAAGTGTTCTATACCAACTCAAGCTAACAAGCAGTAGGGTCTATCAAATGAAGTGCATCCAAAAAACTACGGGTTAACATGATTTACTTACACTGCTGATAAAATTATACATATAAGTAATTGGTACAACTCAGTAATCATACCCTTTATCCACAGAGCTCAAAAAAGAATGCATGCAACATAAAGAAGCCCTATCCACAGATCTCAAAAGTACACTAAATTTAGTATTGACTTTCTTAAGAAAATGAACTCAGATCTTGAAACGACGACTGGCTTCAAACAAATTAAAGACAGCCATTATTACAGAAAGACAGATACAAACCCCACAGTAGTTATGTATTCATTTCTTCCTTACTTCAACCAACAGTAAGTGACATTGCCCATAAGGAATAAAAAGCACCTAAACCCACACAAGAAGTTCACCTTAATGAACACAATGCCAAACTGGTTTATTACTAAGTACTGCGCAGTATTTTACGAACCTGTTTTGTCTTATAAATTCTGTATTCTGTTTGCTCATGCCACCTCACCACAATCTAGTCAAAGCCACTAATCTGCAATGTACAAGACATAAGGGTGTTCCCCATAAGTGTGAGTGCACAGGAGCTCTAAAAAACCAGTCTAAGTGTACCAACCTTCGGGGTGTGTACAATACATAAGCAATCTCTCTTGCATGGCTTTGCGTGAAAAAGAAGGCTTATGTTATTGCTCCTGAGTCACTATTGCCTGTAGTGCTCACATTCTTTAGTGATGGAAGGAGAATTACAACTGCAATTACATGTATGGCAAGAAAGTGTTCTTTCCTATATAAAAATACAAAAAGAAAACCCACAAAATAATTACATGTGATAATTTGTTGCTATAGTTTCAAAACAGCAAACAAAGACAACAATGAAGCAACAAGAACAGGCAGACAACTGTAACTGACAGATATAAGAATATCCCATGTAACACAGCTACTGGCAATACTGTCTGTAATACATGAAGGCAACTTATGGGCAACACAAGGACTTAGTACAAAACAATTTGCTGCTGTTGAAATTCTGTGATAACAGCCTTCATGGCATTGGCACAAAATTGGTTTACATTGTGACCCATTGGGAAAATACATTTTCTTTAATGCAGAGAAAACCAAAGTCTGAATAAAACTTTCTATGATGTCTTGATTCTTAAATTAAAACAAAAAAATCAACTTGACTTACAGAAAGTGTTAAATAGTAGCAAAGGGCTAATTATACCATACTAACTTCCTTTTGTCTAGTATAAAAGGACATTTTTTTACTTTGCCTGGCTGAGTATAATAGCCTATGAATTATGAGATCAAAGCAGCAAACTGTATGTTTTCTAAAGTAAGAGTTTCCTTCACCAAGTTTTACACTTAACTACAGCTGAAAGAGCTGTGTGAAGGGATCAGCACTAAACCCAAAGGACAGGCTGTGCACAGCAAGAAAGAGAGCAACTCCCTCGTGCTTTTTGCAGGTCACTACCAAGGACCATGTTAGCAGATCCACACCAGACCCTTAACAGGCAGCTCTGCTGCTACCAGTAATTAGCTTGGACAGCTCTGGCTCCAGGAGTAGCAGCAAGGCTACACCATAATGAGCTCAGCTGGGATTAGCAGGACAGGGCAGGGAACCAAGAGAGCTGAGGCATTCTGCATTGCGTATGTATCACAGAGATCAAACAAGGATGGCTGGCTAGGTTATCCCCTCACCACCTCATTCCAAAAATGAAGCACGGCAGTGTGGAAAATACAGGCTAATGAAGAGCGACACCTCCAACAGATGAGAGCCACATTAATTAACACAATCCCTAGATCATGGAATACAGTTTCTGTTAGTGCTAGCAAACTTGTAACTTGTCACTGATTTAAGGGGTAGGGGGAGGGAGTGGGGGAGAAGAAAAAAAAAAAAAAGAGCTGATGTTTTCCTTTTCTGCTTTCGGTAGACGACGTTTTTTCTTGCAATTTTGCAAGGAATTCCTCCTATATGGTCTGCAAAGTACTATCTTCAGAAAAAAACCCAGTATTTTCCTTAACTTAAACACCTTTTAAGAAGCAAACTCACTTTTCAATCAACAGTTTTTTGTGTTCCCTTTTGAAAAAAGCCAGTTCATTCCACACCATGTCAGGATCCCCTTGACAAAGCTGACAGGAGTCTGCATGCTGGTATCCACTTTTACTATTTTCAAGCCTGTTTATGAAAAAAACAGCTTGTTTCTTTTCAAATACCTACATGTTTTGCTTTCCGATAATACAAATTTTCAATTACATCATCTACTGAATAAACATTTTGCATGAAGTATACGTTTTATGAGGCACAAAACCTTAACTGTGGTAATACAGAGAAGTCCAATAGCATAGTTTCAGACAGATGTTGTGCTAGTATGACACCATGCGTCTCAACCTACACGTGGCAGAACATTCTATCAACATTACTTAAAACAATAGTATGAGAAAGCAGAAGTTGAAACCATCACATAATCTCTTGAAAAAAAAATTGAGAGTCACCAGCTCCCCTAATGCCCTGGAAACCAATCTGGAAGTTGCACTAATGCCTACTCTAAATCAAAGTATTGTCCTACAGATCAATGGAAGAATAAACTGTCTACGGACAAGATGACGTATAAGGAAAAAGCATATTGAATTTAAAAGAACAGAAAAATAAATTTAAAATATTTAACAGTTTTTCTGTCATTAAAATATTTTAATGTATTTTAATAATGCAAAAGCTAAAAATTGTATTAAAAATTCTTTGTGAAATCAATTTAAAACTCTCTGCAATCTGAATTCATACTGGGCATAGAATAAAGTCTTAGAGAATGTGATAACCTCCTAAGGACCCCATCATCTTTGCAGTCATGTACATCACTGCAAGTTGTATGTACACTGACAGGTGGATTAGGTCCCATCAGCTGCCATCTTGATAACAGACACTAATCTATGACAAATAAGGAGAATAGGGTCCTCCATCATTTATAAAGGATCAGAAGTGCCACATCAGGACCTGATACTGAGTTCTTAATGCACAATTTACATTACAGCAGCACTATATAACAGTCTTATTGCTACAGACTGTTTTTATTTGTGCCTCAGCTACTTCCCTTTGTTTAAGCGTACTAAAAAGGAAAACCAAACCCCTTCTAGTGTGGTTTCATATAATTCTACTATGATGACAACAATTAAAAAACCTTGCTATTTTCTGCTTATCTTAAATATATATGAAGAATCAGATGAATGAAGATTTAACATTACATTTTACCCAATACCTACTTTTCCCAAATACATTCCTGTCATATCACAAGCTGGTTTTATTTATTTTAAACAGAAACAGAAGCCACTTTTGTTCCTCTTTCCTGTTCTTTCTTTTTTATTTATCTTTTAAAAAACTATCAGAACCAGAACACTCAGTGCTTCACTGTATATCAAGTCTGATTTTACTGTCTTTATCTAGGTTGAATTTTTTTATCTTTTCAGTCTTGGCCTCTCAGTGGACAATGAATACCTATTAAGCTATAGACACAGAATTAAATAATTTCATTGAATATAGTGTAGTCACTTCCAGATTGCACTGAATTAAAAACAATGAGCTAGAGGAAAAAAATCATCCATGTTTTTCCTAAATAAGAAGCACCTTTTCATTATAATTTAAACAAATTTATTTGTAATTATGCTTGGATTTTTCAAAAAAATCTTTCTGTGCTATCACGAATGGTGTAGCAGTTTTGTACTTTACCATTATTTTCATCCACACTTTTTTGTCTTTTTAAAAGACAAACTGTTAAGTAAATGCCACAGTATTTCAAAGCAATGCAAATCTACTCATATAGGCCAGAGCATTACTTATATATGAGGGACAGTTTATCAGTAGGACTCTGACCAGCTACCAGTTTTGCAGCATTTTCTGTGATTCTCTTTTTGTTCAGAGAGCATTACAAAGTTTGTGTCAAGATTAGTCAGTATTGTTCTAATTGCAATAAGAATTATTTTTAAGTAAAACGCATATGCGTTTGGTGAGCTGTAGGTGCATGCTGAAGTCCTGCTAAAGCTAGAAGGAAATTACTTCCTTGAACCAGGTCCCAAAAGACAGGAGTGTCTGATAACTGAAGTGAAATGTTTTCATAACTTCAAATGCATTTTTTTACCAAAAATTCTAACTGTCTGCAAAGGACTTAAAAAAAAAATAAAAAAAAGAAGTCCTGCATAAAATTTTCACTGTTCTGTATAGAATTTAAGGGAGAATTATATGTAGAATGTTCATCATATAAATTTTTATGTAGTACAGTCGTTACTCTTTCCATTAATAAAGATCTTTACTGCAATTTTTTGGTAAAATTATCAGGAATAATTGATTTTTAAATAATTTAACATATAAAACCAGCCTGTTTTCATTCACATATTATTTTTTTTCCCTATTAGGAAGGAGATTTCAGGATTGGATTCAGTTAATATTTGAATCACTAAATGTCAGAGAGGCTGTTATTTCTATATTTTTAATGAATAAAACTATATTTTAAAACCATTTGAAACATAATCAGCAATTGTTGTATTAAAGAAAACTAAAAACAGACACAGTCAACAAAATAATGGACTGGGGAATTACATAAACATAAGGAAGCAATCCTAGCAGACGTTTGTCCAGTACTCAGGCTCACCAATGAGATCCTAAATAAAATAAGTCAAGGTGTCAGCTCGATACATTTCCTCTTGGTTTCAACTGCAATTCTTCTCATACAGGGATAAGCCATATATTCTGCTTTAACAAGGGATAAACTCTTGATCATAGTCATCCTTGAAATCAAATTCTCTTTTCAATACTTATATAATACTTCTGTTCAGATTTCTTGTGTAAGAGAAATGTTTTTAATGAGCTATGTAACTTACCTGGTATCGCCCTCTTCCCACTGCTTTAATTGTTCTTTTAGTGCTCTGTAGTTGGTCTGTAACATCTGCAGCCTTTCTTTGTGTTTTTCATAGGCTGTTCTTAGCTCATCAGTTTCTCGAGTCTGTATGAAACCAGAAAAATTGAATTAGAGTTAGTCAAAATGTAAGAGACTGTCACACAGACCACATGAAACAGAAGTTCTCTTTTAGCAACTATTAAGCAAATCAGAAATCTAAATAGAATGATCAGGAATTACAGTTTTTGAGATCAAAATTTTCTTATTACTACTTTGGAAAATTTTCCTAATTTGGTAAAATTAAATATTTTTTTCATTCTTCTGAGAAAATTAAAAAAATTACTACCAAAATGTCAGCTTTCACCTTGTGAATACATCGGCCTAATACATCTGAAAATATATAGACTGAAAAAGGATTGCTGGCACCATCTTTTTTTGAAACTACATTTTTTTTTTCCCCAGTGGAAAACTGACTTTTGTATTTTCAAGGAAAATACTGGAACCCCTATATTTAAAGGTTTCAGTATTTTTTCATATATTGTTTATATACATATATAAACCTGCAACTTCCAGATTTTGTCTTCTAGTAATGCAGCAAACAAGAAATAAAACCAATTTTTACAATAGCTTTTGTATAATCAAAACTATACCAAAAATGTACAGAACAATACACCTCAATTTATATTACAGGATAACATCATCTAAGTTTAAAAGATTTTCCCAAATGACAGTACAGTGCTGTGAAAAAAAAATAAAAAGAATACCAAGAAGAAGTATTTCACAGTACCAAGCAAGTCAAACTCTGGCATATAGCAATAAAGAATTCACCAGACATTATCCTGTAGCAAAATTTGCACTCAGAGCTTCATTTCCACTTCAGTAGGAGCTCTGTTTGTAGAGCAACTACATAACTAAGTAAATCACAATACTTTATCTGCAAGTATTTACTGCTTACATGCAAGGAGGGCTTTTCAGCACTAGCCAATAAATAAGATACACCAATGGCCAGAGTCTCAAGCAATAAAATCCCACTAAAAAAAAATGGCAAGGGTTTCTAGAGTACTGCTAACTACAAAGTAGCTAGACTAAGCTTGGCTTCTAAAATGTAGCTCTGCTTTCACAGTGCACAAACTTGAAAGTTACCAGTTAGAGTTTCAAATGTTACTACATACAAAATTCCAGAAGTTTATTGGAAGTGACTCAGGCAACACAAAGAGATTTAGGAACAGAAGCATGTCCAAAGTGACATGACCATTAAACACTCTCTCAAAGTGGTGGTGGTAGGCTTTTTTCCTGAAACAACCTGTAAACCAGACACATTTATAAATTTAGAATTGCTTAAAAAGTACTTTTGACTTTTTTTAAGTGGCTCATGTAAATACTACCATGATATTAAAACCAATCACACAAATAGCAAGATATAACTCAGACTAAGGACACAAAGACTACTACCTTGCTGTGTTTCACATTGTAACAGGAAATTTTCATAAGAATCCAATTACAGATGTGTTTTCAAGAGAAGTTCATGAAACAATTGTTCCAACATTGTTTGATATTGGTAGTAAAAACTGATCAAGTCTGGCAAGGTACTGAAAAATAATGTCCAGCATAAATTCTAAGAAGCTTATTAGTGTCAATGCCCTTTCAGAGGTGCAACCAACTGTAGAATTTGGCCTTTCCTATTTATGAATCTACATTTTTCATTATTGCTTACCTGTTCTATTATCCGTTTTGTTACAATTATTCCCTTCCTTTATCACTTGCTCTGCTCTTGCAGAAATAGAAACTAGACAATTAACTGCTTTAATCACTGTCTTTATTGAATTAAGCACTTCAGGATTTTAAATATACACTGAAATTTCCACAATTTGTTAGATATGTCTCTCTCTGATTGAATTATGCTATATTTATTAAATAAACTGTCTTATACACAGTTTTCTATATATTTACAGAAATGGACAGAACAACCATTTCTATCAGTGCTGGACCTCCAGATTATTCTCCAGCTCTTCACTGTCATTCTATAGTACTTCCTAGGCAATAATGAAAGACAATAAGAGAAAGTCCAATCTGCAAGAGGAAAAATCCAACTGCCTGTGAAAAAAAAGCCATTCTGTTCTGGCAGGCAGCTCAGACAAGCCAAAAGATTAGCAGTTAATTCAAAATTTTGTTGAAATTGACCTGTAACAACTTCTGTTATAGTAGAAAGGAAATTTTAAAAATTATGCTGATTCAGTTATTAGACTACTATTCTTAGGCTTACAAGAAGTGACATACCCAATCATTACAAAAATAGTTTATTCCACAAACAGTTATGTGAACAAGCCACAATACTAATAACAATCTATTTTCAGCATCTGAGCACCATACAAGAAATAGGACTACACGGGAAATCTGAGCTAAACATGAGTGTGGTCTTGCTCACATAAACAAATATTAAGGTGGGCCTAAAGAGAGATCTACATATCCTAGTTTTAATTATCTCCAAAAATTTTAGAACTTAAATAGGATGAGAAAACTCAAAGGGAAGAGCTCTGCTTGCTTTTGAGAGCTTTCCGGTACAGCCAGGATTATCTACTCTGGGCTACGCCAGCGCTCACAGTTCTAAAAACATAATATGGGAGAAGATAACATATTCTTAGCTCATATCAAATACCTACTCTTGACAACAAAACTCTTACCTACGTCTGAAAGACTAAAAGTAGATTGATGTAGTTATGCTTTGGATCATTCTAAGTAGCAGCTTGATAATTTGTTATTTAAAACCCAGTAAGTACTCTTATTTATTTTATTTTGACATTCTCTTCTGTAAACAACTGCACAATCAGGCATGCTCTGTTACTTTTTAGCATGTCCAGACACAAAGGCAATTCTGTATAAAAACTGCGGACGCTCTGAATTTACATGATCATCCCGCTTATAAAAGCAACAAAGATAGTAATAGCTAACTTTTCTTGGTCAGAAATGAGTCAGCTGAGGAAAACTGGAAAATCCTGTGAATCTTGTCCTTTTCTGCTCCTTTGCAATACTGACTGGGGCATTCCTGTTCCTGAAAACCCCATAAATAGAGCGCTCTCTTTTTTTTTTTTTTTAATTGTTACCAGTTTTTCAGAAAGACTAATGGATAAGGTCACAATTTCATCTTCCAGATATGCATCATCAGTGTGTTTATCAATAGAGCAAGGATTTTTCTGAACAAGAATATTCCAAGTAATCATATAGTCAACACCCTGTCTGAGGAGGCAATAGTGCAAGTGCCAGTCTTGAAAATGTTGCTCATATGCATTATTCTTAGCTGGAAAAAATGCCTAAGAGAAGGCTAATATCAAGAAATCACAAAACACCAATAGAAATATTCTGACATTAATGTTATGACAGCTTAGTTCACTGCCATGCTGGCAGTAGCCTCACTGAATTCTGAATGTAGTGCCATAACATTTTAGTATGCTGACCTGAGCCTCTACAGTTTCTTTTCAAACAATTAAAGCATTCTGCGAAAGAAGACAAGAAGATTTTCAAGAGAAAATGCAAAGAGTTCATGTGTTCAGTTTCAAGGGGAGATATAAGACTTAGCCCTTCATGACATCATGGTTTAAAAGCTGTGATAGAGATCCCACACTTGCAACATATTAAACCTGCATAGATTCCTAAATTATATTTTAAGATGAAATAGAAGATAAGGCAGGATGGTGAATGGTACAAATTATGATATGAGGTTATGCAGAGAGAGTTCTTTCTCTTCTGTATCTACTGAGAAAATCAGTGTTTCCCTTCACTCTTCTTTCCAGAAGAAAACACAGAGAGTGGAGCTCTCTATCATTTAAGGCAACAACCATACACACTGCTGTGTGAGCTTTGCTTCTAAGGATGAACAGCTGTAGTTCACATGTCAGAATAATCTGTAGCATCAGCGTCTGGCAGGCCAAGTAAGAGTAACAAAAAGAAAGCCTCCCAAAGGCCAGTTCTCAGCCTCAGATTTAGCTGGTGGGACATGCCTTAGATTTCTTAACAGAGAGGAAAAATGAAACAAAATTAATTTTCTGACTCCCAGAAACAAGATGACCTGTAAGACTGAATCTGTAGTCTAAATAATCTTTCCTGTATTATTATAATAATCTTTCATATACTCTACATGTGTTAGGACACTGCACTGAACTCTCTCAAGTATACGGGGTGAGGAACTGTGGCATTTGTGCTAAAATATAATTCCCACTTACAGTTTTTCTAAAACTGACTTATCACATTGGTGTCTTTTTGCACAAGGCAGGAGCTTAAGGACTATGGTTGGTAGAGCTATCAAATTTTTTCACTTACCTGACATTTATCACAGCATGTTCAATATAAACAGTTCTGCTTTAGGATACTGAAAACACCTTTCAAATTCTGTAACTCTGAACAAACATAAGCAACAAAAAAAGGAAGGGAGGAGAAGGAGGGGAGGGAGGAGAGGATGAATTTTAAATGTTTAAGAAAATATGACTTAGGGTTTGAGTTTTGTGTTCTGAGGTGCAATTTGAACCCAATAGTTTGTTCAAAAGGTACTGTATTTCTGAAGCAAAAAAACAAACCAACAAAAAAACTACAAAAATCTATGAAACAGGGAGAAATTGTAATACATGCTCAATTAAGATATTCTACCAAGGGGTGGAGGAAGGAGGATTGTTTATTGGGGTTTTTTAACAGCATTTGTTACAACAGCAACTTCTGAGCCATAACATCTAATATTTCCAGGGGTAAATCTGTTTCAAGTAATTGACTTCAACATTTTAAAATACTGGCTTCACTATAAAGAAAAAAAATTTTGTACTTTCTGATTTACTTTACTTCTATATGAGTACAAGAATTTCTCAGAATATATATTCTCAGACACAAACTTTGAAAATGTATTTAACAAGTATGTGTTATTGATGACAGCTCAATTAAGCTTCTATAGGACTGCAGGATTACTCACACAGTAAAACAAAAAGGTAAACTAATGGAGAGTGCTCCCTTATGCTAACACAGAGTCCATAACAATATGTGTATTTTTAATTTTTAAAATGCCTGTTTATTTTGGAGTATCTTACTATGCAACCTTATAGCAAGCAGGTTTTGGTTTGGATTTTTTTAACATTCACCTTTAGCTGTAGCGTCTTCTCTAAGTTTTCAATCTTCCTTTCAGCTATTTTAAGCTTCCTTAGCTCCTCTGACTCTCTAAAAGGGCTCTTTGGGGACAGAGACCTTGAACGTTTCACAGGTGGTTCCTGGAGAATAAAACAAGGACATGGTTGAACTAGTTGGAACACCGGATTATGAAAGACGTGCAGAATTAAAGAAGAAGTAATTTTGAATACTAATAATGAATTTTAAAAAAAAAATCTGCATGGAATACCAGAGAAATAACAAGCAGAATTACCACAGCGCTACCACTAAAGGTTTCTCTGTGACTCGTTAATGAGAATATTCATTTACATTTACATTGTTTCTTTCAGAATAATGATGTCCCATTAGGGAAGACTAAAGGGTTATAGACTCAGAAATGCAAGAAACCTCATTACAAAGGAGGGGATAGAGGCTGGTCTAATTGCTCTATAAGGGTCCAAGGTTACACTTGATAGGACAACCAGAAACAAGAGGGAAAGGATTTTTTTCCCTTTGAAATAGTTTAACACACTGTGAAGTTGAAGGAACAATATGCTTGAGGAATATAAATACAACAGACAGTAGATCTTATACCATAATGACCATATGGTCATTAACTATAATGTGACTAACTAGAGACAAGAATATGTGTTTATATTATGTACAGCTTCATATAGCAATCTGGAGAAAGAGTATGTGAAAGTAACACTTAAACTGGGCAGCTTTCTTCATTCTATGTCATATGTCCTTATGGCAAAGAAAGAAAGACCTCATCAAATTAGACTTTCAGATTTTCTGAATAACTTTGGTTAAGAACAGAGAAATACTAACACACACTTAATACCAATAAGGTAAAATGTTAATATGTAAATACATAAAGTCAAACAAAAAAATTATGATTATTGTTGTTGCATTTTGCCACTTTCACTGTAAAATAACCGATTTACAGCAAAAGGAATTCAGAATAAGTTCTTCTTCAATACTGTATATGTCAACACTTCTACTATTCCATTAAATTGATTTAACCTTAAATAATATCTTAACTAGCAGCTGGTGTTTTTTATTTTGTCCATTATTTTCCAGTATGATACATTTCCAAGATGCCATGGAACATACTTTTCACTTTAAATAGGATGGGTTTCCAAAAAGGAGAAAAAAAAATCATGAAATATCACAAAATAGTAATACCACACATTTTAAATTCCGAATGTAAATATTGCCAAGGTGGTTTTGTCATCTGGTTTTGGGATACTTTTACTTCTGAAATGTGCATAAAAGAGATTTAAAAACCCCCAACAAACAACAATTTTTTTTAAAAAAAGCATCATTACCCTCACTCTCACCAAACATCCCCAAACAAATAAAAAAATAAAAAAAAAAATACTAGGATCTACATATCAAGCTGGCACAGATTCTCCACAATAGGTTTTAAAAGTTTGTATCTAGTTTTACACAAGGGAGTGTAATTTCTTTATTTCTGACACAGCGATCAGTTCATGACAAACACAGTAGTCTCATTTACATTACTCTGAGGAAACAGACAATGACACTGGTGGTGGGTTAACCTTGGCAAAGGGTCAAACATCCACTCTACTGCTCACTCAATTTCCTTCCTCACTAGGATAGAAGGAGAAAATAGGGCAATAGCTTATGGGTTTACCATTCACCATCATGGGCAGACTCACCTTGGAGAAAATCAGTTTAAGTTATTGTCACTTAAAATAGATTTGGGTAGTAAGAAATAAAGAAAAAAATTAATCAACACTTTATCCCCCTCCCAGGAGGAGCTCCCAGCTCCCCACCCTCAACTTCATTCCATCACTCCTAACTTCTTTATCTCCTTCTGAGCAGTGCAGAGAGAGGTTTAGTCAGTCCATAACACTTCCTCTGAGGCCATTCTTTCCTCCTTACTTTTCCCTGCTCCAGCATAAGGCCTCTCCATAGGCTAGGGTCCTTCGGGATAAACCTTAACAGAGTGGGTCTTCCATGGACCACAGTTCGTGTAAGAGGAACCTGTTCCAGTATGGACTCCCCCCCACAAGCTGCGGTTTCCATGATGGAATACCCATTTGCTGTGGGCTCCTCCACAAGCTTTAGTATGGACATCTGCTCCATGGTGATCCCCTCAATGGGCTGCAGGGAAATACCAGCATTTGGAGCAACTTCTCCCTCTCCTCCTTCCCTGACCTTGGTGTTTGTAGGGCTGTTTCTCACCTTCTGTTCTTCACTCTACATTGCTTATGCAGCATTTTGTTCTTTCTTACACACATTTTCACAGAGGTGCCATCACATGCTCCTGAACAAATGTTGTAAATTATGTCTTTTTCCAAATATAGCATACAGTACAGGATATTAAGAAAGAACATCATACATTTTTCAAAGAAAATGTTATGAGATACCAAATATGGGTAAACCAGAAGGTTTTCAGGGAAATGGACATGATGATTGACTCTTGTAAATGGACATGACGGTTGACTCCTGTAAATTATTTATATCCTTCAAGAATCATGTTCATACTTGCAACCTTACTAAAGAAATCTCTTCCAAGTTTCTCATATTCTATTCAACCACAATAAAAAAAGTAGATGAGGAAGAGGTTGAACACACGAAAAACATCATGACCTCAGTTAATTTAATAGATCAGTTTAAGCCACAGAATTATTTATGGCTCTCTTTCATTTACTATAATTTATAGTTGTTACTGTTACTGATGCCTATATTTAAGAGTGAGACACCATGAAAGAGGCGATCCAACACCATACAAAGTCAAAAGTATAACCTTCAAAGGACATTTTTGTCATTCTTCCTAAAAAAAACCCACTTTGTCCTACCATAAAAATCAAGAATTTGGAAAAAAAATATTTTTCATTTATAAAATCATAATAATAACCATTTATATTTCTCTCATTTTCCTTCCAGGGAAAGATGGTCATTCTGATAAACACCACAAAATACCTGATAAATATTCATTTTAACAAACCTACAAAGAATTTATCCTTCAAATAGTTCATTTAATTAAGAATCCCTTATTCAGTATTTAATAAGGTAAAACCTTCTACTCCCAACAGCTATTTTAACAAGTCTTTGGCAGATAACACAAGAACCATTTAAACAAGCTTCCAGAATTATAAGCAGCGTCAACAGATATTAAAATTATTATCTAGACCCTTGAGCAAAAATGTTTGGCATCACCAGTCTGACTTAGACACAAGGCATTAAAACTACTGTACCTCATGCTTTCTTTGCATCCTTACATTGTTGCTTTCCAGCATATCTGTAGTGCTCAAATTATGATCTGCTAGGTTAAAACCTGAGTTTTTCAATTTTTCCTGTAAAAGCTCAATTTCAGATTTTTGCACTGTAATAGGGCACTCTAGCTCACTTAAAATAGGTTGTTGAAATACTTAATAAGTTTAGGTATATTGGTAACAAAAAATTAGAAGCATAATGCACCATTTACATAAAACTGCCTAGAGAAACACAACATTAACAATATTACAGGAACATGCAAAATCTGTAAATAATTCCGCTTTTTGTAAATGATTCATGTACTCAAAACCAGACCTCAAAATAATAACTAAACATTTTCAAACCACGACCATATTTTCCACATCTAAATTTACATTCTTAAAAATGATTGTTTTACACAGCTGTTTCTTCTGCAGCAACTTATTCTACTATTTTGTACATCACAGTGCATCAAAATTTCTTGACAAAATGTTTTACCTCCTAAACTTGTTTCCTTAACAAAATATTTCACCTCCTAGACTTGTTTCTGGTGAAATATTTTCTGGTGAAATTTCAAGTTGGTAAGTATCACCAGCCTAACAAACATGGGGGGGGGGGGAACCAAAAACCCTTAACTGCATATTCTGACAATAAATATATTCTTAGTTAAAAACTGCCCCAGAAAGATATCTTTTTAATGTCAATCTACAACACGTATCTGCTATGTCCTTAAATTCGGCACAAATATTGAGGTCAAATTGAAGACTTACAGAAAAATAGACAGTAATTCTAGATCACAGTGTTACTCAAAGCAGGTATGTCATTTCATTAAACCACTGAAATCCAGGATCCTTCCCAGCTATCAATCCATGCATAGCAATTCCTTGCCATAATACAACACTACTGCACACTGATCTACTTGGCCTAGTTACAAAACCTGTTCCGACAACTCACATTTCACTGGTATGAGCTACTATAAGTTATATCACTGGTGTCCAATAGCAGACATATGACCAAGAGTGGTCAAATTACCATGGCTTGATGACTGTCTCCTTGCCAGTAGAGTTTTTATGAACTGACTGCAGTCACACCTCACTCCGTTACAACCACCCAACAATATGCCTGTTGTGTCAGTCTACGGAAATCACAAAGCGAAATGCTTTACCACAAATCCCCTCCACAGTGCTTTAAGGCTGGGGACACACACTGATCTTCAAACAGCTGTGCCAGACAAAGATAATATAATTCCCAGATGGTCAATGCATCCAGGCAGCTGGAGGTTAGCACCTCAACACTATTGCTGGAAGAAGGGATGATGGAAACTGCCTCCCTAATCAATTGCATAAATTTAAGGGCAGGTTAGTTTAAAAAGTCAATGCAAGTGGCTTGAGCTGACCCAGCTGACCTTGTATTGGATTGATGAGGGCAAACTCATGAAACTCTATTGCCAGTGGTGCTCTGACAGCAATGACAAGCAGCTAGGAAGCAGTACAGTCTTTAATCAACAAAACTTGCTCCAGAAGACAACTTTCTCAAGACTAACTAAAAGTTTATTTTATACATACTTTCCCTAATTAGCAAAGTTCTGACAAGGTCACTTCCTTGCAACTGTTTGAGCATATTCTTAAGACAAATACTCACTTCAACAGAGAAGACAGGATTTGGTACAATTACCATTTGTTCCTACCATCTCAAATACTGGTATTCCCCCCCTATTTGAGATGATAAAATAAGTAAATCAAGTCAAGTATACTGACAAAAATCAGAAAAGGCAGTGTGAAAAAGGTTAAGTAAGCAAATCTCCAAATTAATGTCACTCGAGAAACGAGATGGTCCAAAGCTGATTAAAATCAAGCAAGAGAATGCCCTAGTAAGCATAGTATTGATAGAAACA